CTAACCTCCTGGCTCTTTCTACTACTTCAAGTCAGATGAATGAGCAGATAGTCCTGTCCTCACATTATCTGGGGCTGCTGAGGATCCAGGAAGCAGTAAATCTGGGGCACAGCAATTTGCTCAGGAGATAGAATATGTGAGGCAGGACACCCGGCCCAATACAGCACAAACAATGTGTTACTACCCTGCCTGCCCAATCACTCTTGCAGAGGAGGAAGCCCCAGAAATAAGCTTATTTCACAATCCCCCACTCCCCCACTCCCCCGCCTCCACCCCACCCCAACATGATTTTTGGGTGTGAATGGAAACTAGACTGACTGGCTGTCACAAGCTTATGACCTCACAGTAACCAGCTGGAGAACACAGACACCATCCATGATTCCCTTGAATTGACCCTGACTCAACAAAACAGTTACAAATTTCTCCAAGTGAGGCAAAACAAAGAGCTATTCTACTCTAAAAAGAGTAGTGCAGAATAGTGTAAAAGGAATTGAGAATGCTTGTTAATACAATTATAAAACATCATGGTTTTATTTCTATGAATTGTGAAATTAATTAATTACAGATCTTTTTAGGTCAAACTACTCCCAGAGGTAGACCAAGAGATGAATCAGACCTAGTTCCTGACCTGGTAACAGCTCCAAAATCAACTTTGACTCTCTGGGATAGAAACTGTGATCAGAGAACATACAAAAGACTACGAAAAATAACCAGGACTGAAAATGTGCTATATACACACAATGGAATATTACTTAGCCTTAAAAAGGAAGGAAATTCTGACACATGACACATAGGTAAACCCTGAAGACATTACGCTAAGAGAAATAAGCCAGTCACAAAAGACAAATACTGCATATGAGTCCACTTATATGAGGCATCTAGACTGGTCAAATTCATAGAGACAGAAAGTAGAATGATTGTTGCCAGGGGCTGGGGAGAGTGGGGATTGGGGAATTATTGTTTAATGGGTATAAAGCTTCAGTTTTGCAAAATGAAGAGTTCTATGGATGGATCATGGTGACAGTTGAAGAACAATGTAAATGTATTAATGCTACTGAACTGTACACTTTATTTATTTATTTATTTTTTGCGGTACGCGGGCCTCTCACTGCCGTGGCCTCTCCCATTGCAGAGCACAGGCTCCGGACGCGCAGGCTCAGCGGCCATGGTTCACGGGCCCAGCCGCTCCGCGGCATGTGGGATCTTCCCGGACCGGGGCACGAACCCGCGTGCCCTGCATTGGCAGGCGGACTCTCAACCACTGCGCTACCAGGGAAGCCCTGAACTGTACACTTTAAAATGGTTAAGATGGTATGTTATGTGTATTTTACCACAATTTAAAAAAAAACAACTAGGGCTGTTACTGGAAGTGGGCAGTGGTGCTAGTAAGGGCTGCACTCAGTCACACTCTGTACATTGTAGATGGTTGATAAATAACTGTTGCTTGAATAAATAAATGAACGAGTTGGCCAATGAATGAGTGGAAAGCTGGAGTCTCCTGGCTTCCTCAAATTGCCCTCCCCAAAGCACTGATCAGATTTTGGCTTCAAGGCCAGCAATATTCTTTAAATTCAGGTTGTTGTGGCTCAGGGCCCAGGTGTTCCTGAGCAGACCAAGGCCCACTTGACCAAAGACATGGGCAGAAATAAGAGAGTCTTGGATTTCTCAGGGTTGGAAAGCACTCCAAGATAGTGCAATCTATCCCTTTATCCCATGTTGGAGTCTCTCCTCCCATATTCCTGCCTGGTCTAATCTCTTGGCATCCTGAGCCCTAGCAGAAGGCCTGTCACTAAGTCTCAGCAATATTTGCTAAGAGTATTGGAAAACAACAAATGCGTTAACTCCTGGTGACTCATCCAGTACTATCACAAGCCATCCTAGTCTTCCTATGAACCCCCAAGACAGGAACCTGGGGAAACAGCAAACTGCTTGTCTATAGTCAGGATCAGCAAGGTCACATTCTGTTGGAGAGTTTTCAGAATGACTCCTCTGAAAGAGACAGTTGGATAGAGTGGCTCCTCTGAAAAGGAAAGCCATTTTCAATGTCAATTACCTAGGGAAGAGGTAGATCCTCACGTAAGATACCCTGTGGTACAGGGGAGGGGCAGCATCATTTTTGTCAGCAACACAGGCTTTAGGACTAGGCATCTGGAGGACTGTATTGTCCAGATGTGGATTCTAGGTGGTGGGTGCTAAGATGACACCCAGTATACAGAGGTAGACTGAGAGTTAGATGAGGCAGGGTCTGAAAACCCTGGAAAGCAGGCAGCCTGATAACTCAGATCAACCTCATTCAAATACTCACAATTTATTTTCCTGTTATTCATCCTCAACCCTTTAATAAAGTCCGACGTGACCGTTTGATTCCGTGCTAAGAGGTACTGGGAGGTATGTGGGTTTATCCTTGGGACAGACTGTTATTGTGGAGTGGTGGGGGTGACTAGTGAGATCCCATAAAAGGAAGGAGAGTATGAGGGGTCAGGAGCTAGTGTTTGAGGCACTCTCCACCCTAACGAGAAATTCTCCCACCAGGTCTCTTGGTGAGGCTGGAATTTATCATTATTAGGGAATTATCTTACGAGGGATTATCACTTAAAATCACTGCAGCACCCAATAATTCTTCCCAAGAGCACGGAAAGTGGCCCAGCTCAAAGTGCATCTTACGGAGGTCAATTTAATAATTCTATCTCCCAGAGGAGAAGCTAACTTGTGGATCAATTCTGAGCTCAGAAAAGGGATTCTGTAGATTGGTTATTAGGGATCCCCATCTGAGGGAATAAAGGCTATGCTTAAATTGGCAGCTGATAATAACCTTGAAATAAAGTTGGCGACAACCTGGGAAAATCAGAGAATTGGTCCTGTAAAAATAGAACGAGAAGAAAAAGAAATCACTAGAGGGATTCTCTGAAAAGCTGGCTGTGCCACAGAAGCAGTCTCAGTGAACAGCTGTTGTTGAAAGCGAAGTTAGTAATTAGACAATCTCTGCTGTTGAAAGCGAAGTTAGTAATTAGGCAATCTCTGCTGTTGAAAGCGAAGTTACTAATTAGACAATCTAGGGTCTGGAAATCTCTTCCGGGAGTGAACTGGTTAAAGCAAGAGCTGAAGTCTACACAAATAGATGAGACAGTGAAATGTTGCTAAAACATAAGACAGCTGTTCAGAAAAGAATCTAATAGGCTGTCTATAAAGTGACCCAATACACTGTTTTCAATTTGATCCATTACAGGAAAAATAAAAATAGTCCCAGGATACTGAGAAACAAAGTCCTAGACCTAAAACTGTACTTGATTAATGTTACCCAAGATAAGAGCTGAGTCTTCTGCTTAACGTGAATTGCCCTAAGCCTACCAGCCCGTGGCACGAATGAGATCACAGTAGCAGTGACATACAAATTTGCACAGCCAATAGGCCCCCACCTTCAAAACTGCCTCAGACTCAGCAAGAGTTCCTGAGGTGCCTCATATGAAGTCAGTGCCAAGCTTTCTTGTACTTCTCAACTGGTCTCCACTGATATCTGCTGCCTAAAAGCTAGGACTGGTATCTGGATGCTCCAAGAGAACCTGCTTCCCTGACATTCTCCTAGGGTTTCTCTCCAACCTGCCAAACCTCTTGCTACCTCAGAAGTAGCAAGAACTTCTGAATGCCTTTCAGTCCCCACTCATCAGACAGAACCACACTTATTTCAGCACAGAACTGGAGAAATGTCTATTAAACTTGGAAATATTCCTTCTTATGGCTGGGTCTAATAGGATGATACTCAGATGGGAAGCACTTCTGTGTTGTTCACACAATTACAAAAAGAATGTATTACTTTTACAAACAGCAAAACAACAGACATTTTGAAAAAAAAGAAATAAGGATATTGAGTTGGGTTTCTTACACTGGCTGTTACTTTACCTATATTTTAAGCTTGAAGAATCTCCGCATGGTCTCCACTTGGTCCTCTTGCAGCATTTCCTATCTCAGTGAAGGATCCAAGGAGTTGCTTGAGTTAGAAATGTCAGCTTTGATACCTACCTTTCTTTCCTTCATGTTTTTTCCTTCAGTCTCCAGAACCGATCTATATCCAAGTCCTGTCAACCTTACTTCTAGAATACATCTCCAATAGTCAGTTTCTCTCACTTTCCACCATCTCTACCCTAATCCAAGCTACCTTCATCTTGCCCAGACTACTGCAATTGTCTCTTAAAGACTAAGTAGGTCACTCTGATCTGTGGACCCCTCTCCAATCTGTTCTCAAGCAGCCAGAATGATCTTTTCAAAGTGCAAATCTGATGATGTCATTTTCTATCTTAGCCCCCTAGTATTTTTAGTATAAAAATCACAATCTTTCATTTGGCCTCTACGGCTTTTTCTAGCCTAGCCTTTGATTATTCCTCCATACACTTCCACTATAATTCAGCCCTACAACCACATGAGCCTAGTTCCTTAAAATGCTCACCCTTTCTCCCACTACAGGCCTCTTACACATGCTATTTCCTCTACCTGGTATACATTTCACTTTTCACTTCATCTGGTTAACTCTACTCATTGTTCAGGTCAGCTCAATAGTTACGTCTTCAGGGAAGCCATCTTTGAGCCCCAAGACTAGGTCAAATGACATGACTATATTTGTTCATAGTATCATGAACCTCCCCTTCATAATATTTATTAAAGTTATAATTTTAATAATATAATATCATAAAGTATCATATATAATTTATTTGTGTTTTTATTACTTTAATACCCATCTCTGTCACTAGACAAAGGCATTAAATAAGTATCCGTTGAGTGACTGTTAACTTCCTGTGGGGTAAAGTAATTCCTATAATAGCTTAGAGTTAAAAATTCCAGGGTACATCTGAGATCGGTTTTCCAAATTTTAAGGAAGGAATCTCCATACATACCACTCACATCCTGAAGGATTTTGTATGGCTCATCTCTTCCAGCAAACAAGTGATGCTATCCTGAACTCTTTGGAGGTGGCAGGAGGCAGTATTAAAGAGCCCAAGTGAACTCACCCCTATGGTAGATGCCATGTAGTCTGCACACATTTCTGCAAAGTCCCGCTCAAGAACACCATAGTAGAGGCCATAGAAGAGGAGAGAAATGCCAAAGTCCATGGCATCTTCTGGTTTGATCCTGTAAGGGAAGCAGCATGGCCTGTAAGGCCTGCCCTGAGATGCAACTGCTTTGGATTACTACTCTGGGACACGAATGGCAGCATCTAAAGCTGTAAGCTTTAATAGCTGGAGCAAGTGTTGGCAAACTAAAACCATCCAGCCTGTTGCCTGTCTGTATATGACCTGTGGGCACCACCTGAACAGCCTAGGACTGGGAGCTGTGAAGACCAAGCCAGGGTATCCCTTTCTGTTCACTTCCCCACTCTGTTTCCAGTGCCTGCCTCCTCTGACTGATGACCATGCTTGCAGCTCCCTAGTTGGCACCTATATGTTGGGGACTCCACTACTGGCAACTGCTACACACTAAGCAGTGGAATTTTCAGTCCAGAAGTTAGCAACTCACTATTGAATTGCCTCACCTCCAGCCAGTTGCCCAAGTTGAAATAGCTGAGCCCTCCAAAAGGAGGGAAGGGCACAGCAGGATCTGGGTGTCACTGGAGCAGAGAGTGAAAATGATCCCAGGGGTCACCCATCCCCATCAGGTCCCTCCTTCTAAGAATGTTTCATATGATGGCAAATGGGCACAAAGTATGTCCACCATCTGAGACAGGCCACCCAGGCAAACAGGGTGGAGCAAGGGAGGAGTTTTCTCTCGTTATATAAGTACCTATATACCATCCTAGAGTTTGCCTTTTGTCCCACAAAGCCTAAAATATTTATTATTTGGCCCTTTATAAAGAAGTTTGCCAACCACATCTTTAGAAAAGAAAGATAAAGTTAGTAAATATACACATACCAGTTACCATAAAATTTTAACTTGCATCTATACATATTCTGTATCATGTCATCAAAGTTAAATTTTGGTCCAAGTCTCCTTACTAAGGACAATATACCTATAATATTAGGAAGTTTGTTTTAGTAATTCCAGCAATTACTAAAGCAAACTTGAGTCTTTAAATGTTTATTATAGAAAACTACCTTTGTTAAAACTACCTTTGTTAAAACATTTGTACCATTTGTACCAAGAACTGTACGTGTTCACTTAAAGTTGTAAATTACATTTAGCTTAGAAAGTTGAATTTGTCCACCAATCTTATAATATTTAACCTACTAACTAGACATCATGATCTTATACCAATTAACCTGATTAGTAGTATAAAAATGGTCAAGATTCTCAATTATGTTTTCCTCCTTATACAGTTTATCAAAGTAAAAAAGAAACTGTAATTCTAGAATAAATACCTTTAAAACATAATGGAGAATCTTGGTTTTTACTTTTTTTAACCATCCAGGTTAGGAAGATATATGGAAGTACCTTGGTTTTCTTTGACGAGATGATTTGACTCTACACTGATAAATTCCTGTAAATATCTGTGGAGCCTGTTTATTCTTTCAGCCTGTACTACCCCTGGAAGAAAGAATTCCATGGGTGTCCTCTCATTATATAAAGTAGGACTTATTCCTTTCAGTTTCAGAGATTCCCGCCTATAGTATACCTGGTTTGGGGAAGAGGCCAGTGGTCATGAATTGAAATTTGAATCCTAAATCTCTAGCTTCAATGCATTGTCCCAGGCTTAAGATTCCTCAAAATCCACAGCCTACAGCTGTGGAAACCACATTTCTACCCTTTTCTGCCCTGCTTACTCACTGTACCCTCCAGTCCCAGAGTCCAGGATTACTTGGCTTCTGCCTTAACTGGAGGTGGAGGAAACCTGTATGCTGATACAGACCTTCTGGAAAGCTTATGACAATATGAAGCAACAGCCAGAATTCCACTCCTGGTCATGTACCTTAGGAAGCAACTCTGCAATGTTATCTGTGACAGTGCTGCACTGAAAAAACAACCTACGTGACCAACAATGGAGCAGGACTTAAAAGTCCACAGGTTAACTCTGTTTCCTGAGAAATCTCTTAAAGGTGGAATGTCAGCTGTGTCACAAAGTAGCAATGCTTATATGTTAAACCTGACCTGTGATCAGAACACTGCATCTGGACCGGGAGAGTTTTAAACCTGATGTGTTCCTTGGAGAAGTGGGGCTTCTGGGCCTGGCTGGCTCCCACACTCATCTGTGTGGTCTCACTCCCTCATATTTCAGCCCTGGGACTATTGTGAGGACTCCTGCAGACGCTGCCCTGCTATTTCCTGTCTTGTATCTTTCTAGCTGGATCTGTTGCCAGGTGTGGCCAGCTGTGTCCCATGAGTTCAACTGTCTACTCCAGGGTCGGCAAACTTTTTCTGTAAAGGTCCAGATTGTAAGTATTTTAGGTTTTGTGGCCCATATATTTGTGCCACAATTATCCAACTCTGCTGTTTTACTGCAAAAACAGCCATAGACAATGTGTAAACAAATGAATATGAGTGTTCCAGTAAAATATTTTTATTTTATAAAAACAGAAGGTAGGCCAACTTGGCCCACAGGATGTAGTTTGCCAACTCCTACTCTCCTTGAACATAAGACCACTCAGGTAGAGTGGATGTTACAGTAAACAATACACACATGGAAAAGGAAAATGGTTCTGTTGGGGTGATGGAGTTATGAGTAACTGGCTATAATCATTATTATGCTTACTTTTGTTATTATACTTTCCCACTAAAATATAAATTCTTGGAAAGTACAACCAATGATTTGAGACTCTAACTCTCTATTACCCCGACATTCCTTTCTCTTTGCCAGCACAAATCATGGAAGGCCCACCCATCCTCCCATCCTCCAAAGCCAAGTCTCCTATCCTAGGTGCCATGTTCTCGTTGTTCATACTCAGGACCTGTCCCAGGAACAAAGGTACATCTCACCAGTCCCTCCTCCCCAAACACTAGCAAAAACAAAAGCAAAGGGTACTCACTTGAATAACAAGTTAAGACCAAAGAGGGTAAACATGACAGCCATGTAGCCAATGATGCCAGTGGCATAGCTGATTTTATAGATCAGCAGGAACCACTTATAAACCAACCTGGAGAAAGGAGAAAAAATTAGTAAAGCTGACACAGAAAGACTGGCCTAAGAGCCCTCTGGACCACCAGAATCCCTTACTCTCACATCAATGGGGACATCAGGCTCTTTGCTTAGGACTTTTATTGAGCAAGGCTGGTCACTCCCTCAATTGCAGAAACACCTCCACATACCAGGGAGCTAGTGCTTTGTATTTTCCTGATCTCAGACAAAGGGAAGAAAAGAGAAGTTTCAACCTCAAACAAAGAAAGTACACAGCTGACCTCAGACAAGTATGTCATCTCAAATTCAGGTTAGTTGGATGAGGTAACTACAGCTATGCTCAGAAGGAAACAGGTATTCTTATCAGGAAAGAGGATTCAAGGGAAGATGAATAAGAGGCAGAATTAGCTACAGGCTTTTGTAACTGGGCATGGTTAATGTGAATACTGCTTCACTCCTACCCATAGGCTAACAACAAAATGAAATATATCTAATGAGTTTGCTTCTGAATTTATTTTTTTTCCTGAAGGAGAAGGGATAAGGAAGGAGGCACTCAACGAATACCCTTGAATTGGATGTGTGTGCGTGATGCGGGCGGGGTGCGGTAGAATGGGGCTGTGTGATGCTCCTGAAGGAGGAGCCATGCTCCCTAGGATCCAATGAAAAGCAGTGTGGAATCTGGTTGATTGACTGCAACTAGGATCAGAGAGGAAAGATGGTTCCCAGAATGTACCAGAGCCTTTTAAATGTTATGGAGGTAGGTCCTTGATATCAGGAGCCACTGTTCTACCTGTGAGGAGAGCTAAGGAGTAACTTAGCAATCTGCCTGGCTCCTGAGAGCTGAGTAGGTTACTGCCAACCCTGCTGGGCCTCAGGGAGAATGCTCAAGGTCCCTGCTAGGGCCTCCCTGCTGTGGCTAAACAAAGGGCGATGGCTTCTCAGGCTGGCGGAGGGACCTGAACATCTTGCAGTGTCTGCCCTCAAAGACCACAGACAGCTCCATTATCCAGGGTTTGTACTGATCAGATGGGACTGAGACACAGTGGAAAGGATGTGGCATTTTAGGTGGAACCTGGATTAAGTGAGGTTTAATAGCTGGGCAACCCCAGATAAGTCATATCAACCTGAGACAAGTTTAGTTATTTCTAAAACAGGAACCCCCTGCTACCTTTCTCACTGGATTGTACATAGTGTATATAATTTCCTGGTGTATATAATACACGCTCAGTAAATGCTGCATGAATAAATGTGGGTGTTTATGAAAGTACTTTGAAATTGTAAAGCACTATCGAATGCTAGTTGTTACTGTTATCAAAAACCTCCCATGTTATAGACACATTTTCAGTCATTTTAGCTAGATGTTGAAAATGTTACTCGATGACTCTTAACATGCTTTATTATACTTTTTCTTCATATTACCCTATATGAGGTAGCAATTATTATCAGAGGTAGCAATTATTATCACATTTTTAGGGATAAAGAATTCAAGGCTGAGAAACGTGCAGTCATAGGGGTCATATAATTAACAACTGGCAGGTCTGGGGTTTCCAATCCATATCCATCTGGCTCCAGAGTCCGTATATTCTATACTGGCTTTTAATGTAAACTACCACAGCCAGAGAGGGGCTTCTAGACCACTGACCTCAACTTGCAGATAAATTTTACTTTGTAGAATGAAACTCAGAAAGCCAAAGAAAGGCTTGTAGTAAAGTGGAACATAAGAGGCATGGGAAAAAGAGCAAGTTGCAACTTGGAAAACTTTGGATCGGATAGTCACAACTCTTGAGGCTGGCCGGTTCTTCTCTTAGGCTCCCCTGAACCTGTACACACGTGTCTCACAGTACTTACCAACTGCACTAAAACAGCTGCTTTCTTGTCCATTTCCTCCATTAAACCAAGTACTCCTTGAGGACAGGGACCATGTCTTTTCCAGCTCTGTATCCCCAGTGCTCAGCACAGGGCCTGACACATAGCAGGTGCTTGTTGAATGAATGAATGAATAAATGATAACATTTTTTTTCTTTTTCTGTCAAGTATAGATATTAAATGACCTCACAAGCTGGTTGGGAGGATCAAATGAGAAATGCATTTGGAAATACAAAGAATTATACAGGGGACTTCCCTGGTGGAGCAGTGGTTAAGCATCTGCCTGCCAATGCAGGGGACAAGCGTTTCAGCCCTGGTCCAGGAAGATCCCACATGCCGCTGAGCAACTAAGCCCGTGCACCACAACTACTGAGCTTGCGCTCTAGAGCCCACGCGCCGCAACTACTGAAGCCCGCGTGCCTAGAGCCCATGCTCCGCAACGAGAAGCCACCGCAATGAGACGCCCACACACCGCAACAAAGAGTAGCCCCCACTCGCCGCAACTACAGAAAGCCCGCGTGCCGCAGTGAAGACACAATGTAGCCAAAAATTAATTAATTAATTAATTAATTAAAAAAGAAAAAAGATGTATACAGGCAGGGGCTGCTTTGTGACCAAAAAAGGAAGTATTGTTTGCTGGAAAATTGTAAATTTGCTGAGATTCATTCATTCAACAAAAATTCAGAGAATAGGCTACTATGTGCCAGACCCCGTGGTAGGGCCTGGATATACAGTTGACAAAATGGATGTGGTTCCTGATCTCATAGTTAGTTTAGTGGGGGAGACAGACACTCAAAATAATATTTAGTTATAAACTACGATAAGTTTTATGAAGGAAAACTACAGGGCACTAGGAGAGAATGTGATAGAAAATCTAATTTAGAGATCAGAGAAGAGGTTACAGAAGAAAATGACAGTTATAATGAGACCACAATGACGAGGATTTGCTTACTTATTTCGTTAGCTTTTAATATAACAGACCTTGATGTAAACTGTAAGGTAAGCTATAGTGAAAGAATTGGAGGTTTTTATTCTGTGAATGGGGCAGGAGGTCTCCCAATCAGCTCGTTTTGGTGGGGCTTTGTGCCAAGTAATCTTGGCAGACAAAAACTGAGATTTTTTTCAGTCTAACCCACCCGCCTCCCGTGCATCCCAACCCGTTAGTTCAGGAAGCCTAGCTCCTTCCCACTACCCACTCCTAAATTCTCACCTTGGGGTTGTCTGTACTAGTGGTTTTCGGGTGGCTCGGAAGGTGACAAAGGCTGTGACGGCAGAGAACAAGATCCAGATCACTAGGAACCTCCACCAGTGCAGCTTCACTGTGAAATAGAGGGGAACAACCCACATCTGAAAGAGGGTCACCATCTGAAACACAAACACAAGCACTTCAGCTCTAGCCAGCTCCCTCTGCAGCTCTATCTGCAAATCCAGAGCGCATCTTTTGTGATCCATTTTAGCCTGATCCTCTCCTACATTTCCAATTTTGGATAAAGGCACCTCCTAGTGACCCAAGTTAGAAATCTGGGACCGTGCTTGACACCAACCTTTTACCTCCCCACCCGACTGTTTATTGTACATATTCTTTCCTTTACATTTGAGCCCTTGCTACCCCCCACCTGGCTGACTATGACCTCTTTGTTAAGTCTCCTTGCATTCAGTGTCTCCCCTCCAATCTATCCTGCCCAGGAGCACACAGTCTTGAAGTATGTCATCCCCCTGCTTAGAACCTTCTAAGGGTCCCCAGTCTACAGAATAAGATTCAACATCCTTAGACAGGCAGTCAAATCCCCCACAATGGAGCCCCAAACTACTATTTCAAGGACCACCTTCTACCATTCCCTATGCCTGTAGTCAGGTTGTTCCCCTCAGGGCAAAATATCCTTCCCATCTGTCTTTTGGCCTGAGGGTATCACATCCAAGACACACAAAGCCTTCAGTCTCCCTTCTAGGCAGAATAAATCATGACTTCCTATTGCTCCAAACGCATTTTCTTTTCTACCATCATTACAGTGCTTACCTAGAGTATGAGACTGGATTCGAATTCGTTCTCTAGCTTACTTTAACCTCCTTGAGAGCAGTGACAAGGCCACACTCATCTGATTCCTCTGTGCTAGGAAATTGTCTGGTCCATGACAGATCCTCAGTGAATTTAGATAAATGAGGGGAAAGCAAGACTAGAACGCTAGAGGGAAGCACTTTTGTTTTAAAGAGCATCTATTTTACTTTCCCTCCTTCATAGCTTTACCTCAGACTTGTTAGCTACAGAGTTCCAAATGTATAAAACAATTCTAAGTCAGAAGTTTGGACCAATCACGAGTCTTCTGCTCCCCAATGTCTCCTAACTCCCTCCCCGAACCACCCAATTTTTACTAGATGTCACTCTTCTCAGGTGAATAGCAGGTGTAAAAACAGATAATTAGCACTTAATAGAGGCTTTCTTCTTGGTATCATTAAATGAAATGAAAGAATATTTTTTTTTAAAAAAGGGGGGGTGGCTATAGAGAGGAAAATATTAGCTAGTTTCCTAAAGTTCCACAGAAGAGAAAACTTTTTTTTTTTTTGGTACGCAGATGAGAAAACTTTTGAGAAACTATTTACTCTTGGGGATTTCTAGACTAGCGCTGCCCAGTCCAAATATAATGTGAGTCTCATATGTAAGTTTAAGTTTTCTAGGGGGGAAAGCAGGGAGGAGGCGAGGAGTCGTGGTGGGATGAATTGGGAGATTGACATATATACACTAATATGTATAAAATAGATAACTAATAAGAACCTGCTGTATAAAAATAAATAAATAAAGTTAAAAAAGAAATAAATGATGGAGAGGGTGTGGAGAAAAGGAAACCCTACTACACTGTTGGTGGGAATATAAACTGGTAAAGCCACTATAAAAAAAAAATAAGTTTTCTAGTAGCTATGTTAAAAAAAAAGTAAAAAGAAACAGATGATCTTAATTTTAATAATATATTTTATTTAACCCAATATATCTAAAATATTACCGTTTCAACATGTAGTCAATATAAAACTATCTATGAAATATTTTACCTTTTTTTTTGTACTATGGCTTTAAAATCCGATGTTTATTTTATATTTGCAGTATATCTCAAAAGAGACCAGTCACATTTCCAGTGTTCAGCTGCCACATGGGACTGGTGGTTACAACACTGGATAGTGCAGCTTAAAGCATCTTTTTAGTGTTAAGCTGTCTGTAGCTACTACTCTCTCATAGACTGCTCTGTGGCAAGAAAAAGCGTCAGTTTTTTAGTGTTATTTTACATATTAAAAAAAAAGAGAGAGACAGTGGAAGAGAATGGTGAGCAGCCACTTTGCTTTAGAGCTTCCAGCGCTGTGTGCTCACTGGTCAGCGAACAATGTAGCCTCAGTACCAATGCCACTGTACAGCAACCTGCAGTTGACTCTGAATGAAGCATTCTAAAATATTCCGGCCTTACAAAAAAAAAGTGTGAAAAGCAACAGGATGTACTAACGGCTACCCAAATAATGTTCCAGGTAACATTCTAGGAGATACTTGAAGACCAGGAAAAAACATCACAACAAACAACTGCAGATTATTTAAACTAGGGGATAAGGCAACCAGAATCGTGACACTAAAAGGGGGGTAGATGAAGGTGAGTATGGAAAGAAGGGCTACAGGGTCTTTAGCCTTCACATTGTTTGCTTTAACAGGCTCATGGGGGTGTTTACAAAACAGTAGGCCCAGAAACTAGAGAAGAATTAAATCACATGGCCTGGTCACGTGTCCGCTCTGAGAAAGAACAGGAATTCCTATCTCCTTTGAGGTTTTCCAAAAACTTGGCTGTTACATAAAAACCACCAGCCTGCCCTAATAGCCTCTTTCCCACTCCCCATCAGTCACCAATAGCATGTTCTTGGGGGGGAATCCAGTCAAGATAATTTTCCCTATGTGAGCTGCAGCTCTGCATATTTTGGGTGTGGTTGAGAGGCAGAGGACCTGGATTCTATTCTGGGTTGAACAAAGACATAATTAGGATTAAGTCTGGGCATCGGTGTAAAATGAATGGAAAAGTTTGCCTCATTTTGTAACGTTCAGGCTTGAAACTTTAAAGGTGTAAAGCTACTCAACTTACACATGAAAGATAAGAGAGGAGGGGGGTGGGTAGGAAAGGGAAGGAAGGAAGGAGATTTAGGGACAGGATTAGGCTCTTTGAAACCAGATGGCCCAGTAGAAGCCCAGCAAACCTGGATTCTAGTTCTGTTCTGCCTCCAACTCAGTAGGTAACCCTAAAGAGGGCCTTCCTCCTTAAAGGAAGGGTTTGACTTGATTTTCAAACTCCTTCAAGATCTAGCACGCTAAGGTTCTGTTAAGCAGCTCTGTATCTCAGACTCCCTGGGAGAGTGAAGGCAGCCTTCACTCATTCATCCAAGTACTTACTTTGCACTTCATGAGAAGAGGAATGCAGAAATAAATAAACATGACCTCTAGTTTGCCCCTGTCCTCAAGGAGCTAACAGTCTAGCAGCAGGAGAATAACATAGATCAAACCCATATTTTAACGATTCTATGAATCCTTACATCCTTTCTAAAGAAGAAGTACAAACAGAAATCATTAAAGAGCAAATGAACAAAGCAGAATGCAATAATATAGTGAAAAGAACAGCGATTTTAGAATTAAAGAGTTCTAGATATGAATCCCAATATGGTTATTTACTGTGTTACCTTAGGCAAGTCACTTAACTCTGACAGCCTGTTTTCTGAACTGTAAATGAGGTAAACAGTACCTACTCTCATCAGGCTGTATAGGTCATGGGAGTTAATGCATGGAAAACTTTTAGAACAGTACCCAACAAGGCAAGCATTCAATATAAGTAATATAATAAATATAATTTAAGGATTCAATATAATAGCTCTTATATTTCAATAGCAGCAATGTATATAAAACAACAAGCATAGTTGCACGGTAAGCATTAAGTAAATGAGAGCTCTTATTATGGCTTCACATGATCAAAAATTAATAAAGCCACATATATAAGGGAGCAAAGATTGCAATGAGATAACCAAAATAATCAACATATTAAAGGTGGTATTATAGCAATTTCTTTATAATGTTTAATTTGTCCTTTCCAGGAAAAATAAATGATCCAAAAACCCAAACCAAGGATTTGAAGCCATTTTCAGGTATCGAGACACTCTGTGCCAGGGAGGCTTGAAAGTCAGATTCTCTTCAAGGCCTGGAAAGCAGCTGCTGGGGTGAGAGCTCAGTGCCTGACAAGCAGCAGGCAGAGGGGCTGGGTGAACACAATGGGGAAAATGGTAAGTTACAATTTTGCCTGGTTAATTTACTTGTGTCTACTGTAGTATTTATTGGCATTCTGCTTAATAAATAAATTGAAGCTTCCTCATTAAGGAAGGCATTTTTAATGGCTAGCTTGGCAATAAGGCTGAAAGTTACTCAAGATTCTCAGAATAGCAGGAACTCTGGTGCCACCTGGTGGTGACACATTTGGTTCGATAGTTTGCTCAACCAAGTGCCTGTACTTGATGCTGTGAAAGGCACAAAATAATGGGAAGCCGTGGCCCCAACTTCTCTTCCAGAATTTGGGGTGATGAGACATAAATGCATGAATTGGGCAGCCATGCAAAGCATCAAGCACTGCTATGGGAGTTCAGAGGAGAGATGTAGCAGTGTGGTCAGGAGCTGTCAAGGGGAGACTGACTGGAAATGGCAGAGCTCTGGTTCTGAAGGAGGCTTCATTATGGCGTGTGCGCGTGCATGTGCGCGTGAATGTGTGTGTGTGTGTGAAAGCCACTCATTCTTCTCTCCCTGAATCTGAAAATATGAAGCTGAAGTGAAGACTAGCCTGAAACACTCACTGATTCATTCAGCAAACATTTGCTGAGGAACAATCCCAGCTTCTCTGATCTGGAAGATAAGAATAACAACATCCCACTTCTCTCTCCACAAGGCTACACAGTTGAGATGATGATGTTAGATGCTAACAGTAAGAGCTAGCCCAATTTAAATGGACTGTCTTTGTTTTAGATTTCTTTCATCTCAGAAACTAATTCACGAAAAGTCAAAAAAGAGCTCTCAGATCACATCCTTCTCTGGGCACCAGCTCCCCTGTCAGTGCGCTAATGCTTGGCACTTCCGACTTCCGGCATTCTCATCACTTCTGTATCTTCCTACGTTATGGGGGCAGGGCCACCCACCGTGCTTGGCTGAAGAGGAATACTGAGGGTGAAACGAAAACGACGAGCCCAGGTAGCTGAACAAAGTCAGAGACTCACAGCTTCAATCAGCGTGAAAAAAATGCTGATAAATGGACAGAGATCAATTGGAAGGTGTCTGGGATATGCTCTACAGCTCTGGTCAATATTTTCATGAA